ACTGAAAGTCCTGGTCGTTGCAATAAGCCAATTAAAAAATCATATATGTATGTATGCACACTCTCTATATGGATATACAAATGTCATATATATAAAGGGAAGAAGGATAATTGTCTTTATTTGTAGATGACATGGTTGTATATATGGAAAATCCTAAGGAAACTTATAGATTTACAAACAACTACTAGAACTATTAAGTGAATTTGGCAAGAGCATAAGATAAAATGTCAATTCCATTTTTACACAGTAGTAAAGAACAACTGGAAAATAAAAACTTTAAAATAGTATTTACAATAGTATCTATATCCTTAAGATATTGAGAGATAAATTTAGGAAAATCCTTGCAAATCTGTGCACTGAAGACTATAACACTTCCTGAAATTAATGAAGACCTAAAAAATGAAGAGATATAATCTGTTCATGGATTGGAAGATTTGATATTGTTAAGCTGTTTTACAAGGGCAATAGTCCCATTTATGAGGATTCCACTCTCACGACATACACATCCTTGAAAGCCCCACCTCCTAATATCATCACACATGGGGTGCAGGGGGTAGCGAGGATGTCAACGTATGGATGGGGTGGCTGGCACAAACATTCACTCTATAACAGGGCTGAAGCACAAGGAACCCCAGGGGCACCAGGCTCAGGTGCCCAGCCCACTGGCTAGGTTGGAAGGGTCTCTGAAGCACCCATACTAATTACGTGGGGCACAGCCCATCAGCAGGGCAGGAAAGAACCCCCTTCTGGAAAATGACACTGGAACCTCTGAGAAGGCACCAAAGGGTTCAAATTTCTGTTAGAGCAAGAAGGGGCTCTATGAACAGAGATTCTGCCTCTCCTGGTTCTAGGCTTTGAATGTCAACCAGCCGACTCCAGGGAAGGGCTCTGATAAAGGTCCAAGGACAAGAAACACAGGTAGGCTTGAGAGGCTGAAGTCCTTGCGCAGCTGGTGGCAGCTCTCTTGGCAGCTGCATGTCCCTGCTTTTTTTGCTGCCCCTGTCTCTGGGAGGCCACAGTGCTGACATCAATCCCAAACACTTCAGAACCAAAGTCCCTGTTCCAATCCCCCCTGCCTGACCACTGCCTCTGGGCCTCCCAACTCAAACCCTCACATGTAGCCCCCAAGACAAGCGGGAGCACTACCAAAGGAGGGGCTGCAAGCTGGGCAGGAATTCTCAAGTTTACCATTACTCAGGCAAGTCCTGGCCTTCACAAAGCCTAGCTTTTCCATCTGTAAAATGAGCTGATTCCTGCCTTGTCATTGGAGGAGAAGCTGGAGATTGCATGCTGTGCCCTTGATGGGCTCCCAGCAAAGGTAGCTTTTCCCACTACATGGCTGAAAAAGCAGCACGGGATCCTCCAAAGGATCCAGCTCACAGGAAAGCAAAAACCATTTTAAAAATATATATCAAAATCAATGTAATACAACATAACAATAGAAAGGAAAAACCCACGTGATTATCTCAACTGATACAGAAAAAAGCATTTGATAAAATTCAATATTTTTTCATAAAAATACTCAATAAACTAGGAATAGAAGGACACTTCCTCAATATTATAAAGGTCATATGTAAAAAACCTACTGCCAAATCATACTCAATGGTGAGAAACTGGAAGCTCTTCCTGCTCTTGCCACTTCTAGTCAACTTAGTGCTAGAAATCCTAGCCAGGGCAGTAAGGCAAGAAAAAGAAAGAAAGGCATTCAAATGAGAAAGGAAGAAGTAAAATTATTTGTTTGCAGATGATATGACCTTCTACCTTGAAAACCTGAAAGATTTCACAAAAACACTGCTAGAGGTAATAAATGCATCGAGCAAAGTTTCAGGATATAAAACCAACACACAAAACTCAGCATGTCTCTATACACTGACAATGAACAATCCAAAAAGGAAATTAAGAAAGCAATTCCATTTACAATAACATCAAAGAAAATAAAATATATAGATATAAACTTAACCACAGAGGCAAAAGCCTTGTACACTAGAAACTACAAGAAAATCACTGAAAGAAATGAAAGAAGTCTTAAATAAATGGAAAGTCATCCTATATTCGTGGACTGGAAGACAATATTATGAAAATATCCATAAACACATAGTAATGTACAGATTAAATGCAATCCCTATCAACGTCCCAGCAGGGTTTTTTTTTTTTTTTTTTCAGAAATAGAAAACCCTGTTCTAATATTCATATAGAATCTCAAGGGACCTCAATAACCAAAATAATCTTTTTCTAAAGAAAGATTTTATTTATTTTATTTTTTAGAGAGAGGGGGAGGGAGGGAGGAAGACAAGGAGAGAAGCAACAATGTGTGGTTGCCTCTCACATGCCCCCAACTGGGGACCCAACCCGCAACTCAGGCATATGCCCTGACTGGGAATCGAACCAGCAAGCTTTTGCTTTGTGGAACTGTCGACATCTGAACAACTGAGTGACACGTGTTAGGGCTATCGTCAATTGATTTTTGACAAGGGTGCCAAGACCCTTCAGTGGGGAAAGACAGCCTTTTCAGCAAATGGTGCTGGGAAAATTGGATATCCACATGCAAAAAATGACACCAAGTTATACAAAAATAACCCAAAATAGATCAAAGACCTAGAGCTAAAACTATAAAACCCTTAGAAGAAAACAAGGAAAAATCTCCACAATATTGGATTTGGCAATGATTTCATGGATACAATACCAAAAACAAGAGAAAAAAATAGGTAATTCTACTTTATCAAAATTAAAAGATTTGTGCATCAAAGAAAACTATCAAAAGAGTGGGAAAAATATTTTCAAGTCATGAATCTGATACGAGATTAGTAACCAAAATATACAAAAAAAAAAAACAAAACCCCACCCCTCCTACAATTCAACAACAAAACAAATAACTCAAATTTAAAATGGGTAAACACTTGAATAGACATTTCTCCAAAGAAGACATATGCCCGGCCAACAAGCACATGAAAAGACGCTGAATATTACTAGTCACTAGGGAAATGCAAACCAAAACCTCCAGATACCACTTCACATCCATTAGAATGGCTATTATCAAAAAAAGCAGAAGAGAGCAAATGATTGTGAGGATGTGGAGAAGTTAGAAACTTGGTGCATTGCTGGCAGGAATGTAAAATGGTGCAGCTGCTGTGGAAAAGTTTGGCAGTTTCTCAAAAAGTAAACGTAGGATTATCATATGATTCAGCAATTCCACTTCAGGGTATATACTTAAAAGACTTGAAAGCAGGTCCTCAAACAGATGTTTGAGTACTGATGTTCCTAACAGCATTAGTCACAGTAACCAAAAGATAGAAGCAACCTATGTGTCCACTAACAGAAAAATGGATAAACAAAATGTGGAATGTAAATATAACGGAATACTATTCAGCCTTAAAAAGAAACAAAATTCTGATAGATGCTACAACACACATGAACCTTTAAAACACTAAGTGAAATGACAATGTATGCTTCCACTTGCAGAAAGTACCTACAATAGGCAAATTAATGTACACACAGTAGAACAGAGGTTACCAGGGGCTGGGGAAAGGGTGGTGGTGAGGAGCTGGCGTTTCATGGGGACAGTTTCTGTCTAGGAGGATGAAGAGGGCTGGAGCTGGATAGCAGTGAAAGGCTGCACAACAATGCAGTGTAGTTAGTGCCACCAAACCGTGTACCTACAGATGGTTAAAACGGCAAATTTTATGTTATGTATATTTTACCACAATTAAAATATATATACTCGTATACCTGGATGGCCTGAATTAAAAAAAAAAACAATTTGGACCAAAAAGTCTTTTTCTGATGGCCTGGCCCCCCTGAAGTAAGTCTTTGGCACAAGCCTGCTGACGGACTCTGAGTTGGCCTTTGCTGCCTATTGCCTGAGGTAAGCCAAATTGTCGGGAACTCCCCCTGTCCTTTGAGGCAGGAAGTTTAAATTATCAGGTCAATTAGGAAAGATACAACTGAAAAATACAAGTTTCATTCACGCTTCAAGGAGGCGTTTCCTGGCCGGGTGCCACTTTTATTATTTTTGGCGGAGGTCGCTGAAAGCCCCACAGACCCGGTGAAGGTACAATGTGATCTTTGATTTGTGTTTCAAAGATCAAAGAAAGTGAATTTGGTTGTAAATGCAGATAACATTTCAGAGATCCTTTCATGAAAGGAGTCACTAGACCAGGGCAGAAAGGGAGCTGGTGTGTTACATGTGCATTCGCCTTGGGAAAGATCATTTTCCAGTAAATTCGGCTGTCCGTGGCCCCAGTACCTCCTGGCCTGCATCCAAGTCCTTGGCCTACGGTCCTTGAGCTGGGGTCTGGCACCTCCCCCCACCTCTTGCCTAGGCGCCGTGAGGGCGGGAGGAGGCACCGGGCCGTTCATGCGAGGAGCCCCCAACCTCATCCTCCAAAGGCTTTTCCAGCATCTCTGGGTGCTGACCAGCACTCCACTCCTGGGCAGCAGGCTTGGCCTTTGCAACCTATTCTCATTGTCCTCTCTGGGTCCAGCCTTGGCTGGGGTAGAGGTAAACCCACCAACGATAAGAAACCCACAGGCCCTGCCTGTCAGAACGCAGGGGTAAGGTCCTTGGGGAAAGCGCTGCCTGGCCCTCTCGCTCTGCGCTGGAAATGTGTACGTAGAACCAGGTCCTTTGAACACGGAATACTGGGTGGTGAGAGAAACTTTACAAAAGACAGCCGCGGTCCCTCTATGCTCAAACCCTATTGCCCGCAGCCCCCAGCTGCAGTGGCATTAGCCCCCGCACTTCTGCGGAGCCGCTTGGCGTCATGGCCCCTCCCACTAGCTACTCAGAGCTCAACCACAGCTTATTCCCCAGCAGTTCTCCTGCGTAGCTCCGCCTACTCCCTCCGCTCCGCGCCTGCGCACGAGACCCATTGCGCTCTCGTGGCACTTGGCGCAGCGCGGGGCTGAGACTGATCCCATCACCCCTCGCGCAGCGCTGCCGCGCTGGCAGGACTAGGGAGCGTCTGCGCGGCCGCGGCCCCTTGACGCACGGCGCAGGCGCGGCCCGGTTAGGAGTGCTGCGTGCGGCGGGCCGAGAGCCAGTGCGGGGAGGCCGTGCGCAAGCAGGGGGTGTGGCTGCACAACGCTGTGGAGCTTTGAGCTCCTCGCTGCTCGGAGTTGGATTTCGTATCTTCGGCTCGAGGGTCAGTGGGGCGGGGAGAACCCGGGCGTCCGGCGGTGGGATCCCTCCCTCCGTCCCTTCCCACATACCCTTCTGCAGAGACGTGCTCGGAGCCGTTGGACTGGGTCCCCGCTGCCTTGGCTACTGGGCCTCAGTTTATCAGTCCACGCCGGGGGCTGAGGGGGCGTCTGGAATCATTTTCGGTTGGTTCCTGCCGTCTCCGTCTTTAGAAGTAGCGCCCTTCACTCTCCTCACGGCGGTCGATCTTGTTCTCCACTTTCTAGGTGACTCTTGGACTCTCGCCCTCGGAGGGAAACGCGTCTGCAAGGTCTCTGGCTGCAGATTCTTGGGCCCTCTTCGTGGGTGCCTGGCGTAGCTGTAGGTGGGTCGCCTTATTGCGGTGGAGCTTATGAGCTCAAATCCCCGCGGTTTCCTGCATGGAGGTTGCGGGAGGGGTGGTGCAGTGGTCTGCCCTAAAGTAGAAGCATTTGCTGTGAAGCAAGTTATTCTATTCCTGGGACCTCGGAGCAGAGAATCTTCCAGTGTTGCAGGGTGCTGGCTTTGACTTTGCGGAGGCAAGTGCGCGTGAGCCGCGTTACCTGCTCCTTGATAGAATTCTTCAGTGTCAGGCAGGGTGGGGAGAGCAATGAGAGAGATCAATAGACTGATAGGCGTGGAAGAGCCAAGGTTCTCTCACCAGTCAGGCCCAGGCTTAGGAAGGTTCAGGCACGTGCAGGGCTGGCTGTTTGGCACAGAGTTTTCATCCTGAGTTTTCAGAGTACACACAGGAGTGCTGATGAGCGGGAAGGTGACAAGCTAGGGTTCTGAGTAGGGGTGTGAGGTCCAGACTGGGAGAGAGGGAGGGCAGAGACCTGGGTAGTGTGTTGGCTCCTGGGCATGGGACATGTATGGTCTCTCTGGGCAGCCTGGCACCTAACTTCAGATTGGTGATAGGAGCTGCAATGTGGTTATTGCTTTTCAGAGCTTGGACTCAGTATACTGCATTCCTGTGATTCTCCTTGGGCCACTGCTGCTGGAAGGCCCTAGCATATTTTTTGCTTGTATTAGGATGGAAAGGGCTTTTCACATGGATGGCCACCCCCAAGGTAGAGGTTGTGTCTGAGAGGTTCCATAATGCTCGGGTGGCAACGGTAGGGGTTGGTGGCCCTGGCAGTGTTGAGTGCTGCAGGCCATCCTAGGAGGTTCTGGACAGAAAGACAGAGAGCTGTGCTTTCCTGGAGGAACTCACTCTCATTAGGGGTAGATGAACACATAGCAAACTGCACATGAAGGTGTGGGCAGGCCGTGGTGCCCCTAGGTCTGAACTGATGGTGCCCTGGGGACTGAGTGGAGGCATTGTCAGAAAAACTGTACAAGTTGGGGTGAAGCAGAGAGTTCTGTGGAGGCCGCGAGTGGACCTCCAATTTTCAGAGACTGGGGAGGTGGCTGCTGTTAGGCCAGGCAGTGTGAGAGCCTGTGGGGGGTGCCGCTTGCACTGGAAGAGAACTGTGCCTGCTCTTGGCTACAGCCTCCTTTCCCACTTCAGGGCTCTTTGGGCTACTCAGGACAGATGATCATCGCTGTCCATGCCCTTTGCAGGAGGAAGGTAACCATTGGGTTTAAACTTGGGGTATCAGATACTGGGCTTTTGACAGGGAAGGAGGTGCAGGGAGGTGGTGTTTGGGTTGGGGTGGCATTGCCTGTAGGCTGTACACTAAGTGGTGAGGTGAGTCTGGAAGACCTGGGCTTCTGTCACACACATAGGTGACATCTACCATGCTCCTGATGCAGTGATGTAAAAGAATCTTATGTCTGTCTGTGTCATAAGTTAGTGTTAATGTTTGGGGCAGCTAGAAAACTCCTCCTAAGCAGACTGCATAGTGCATAATTGGTGTGGTGAAGTTGATGGTTAAGTGTTTGGTCTCTAGAGCCAGGTTCAGCTGCCTCTGCCACTTACTAGTTGTTGTGTGGCTGCAGATAAGTGACTTCACTCACCACTCTGCCTTGGGGACCATTATTATGGTACCGACCTTATGAGAGGGTCAGTGTTTGGTGTGGATACAGCACTCAGTAAAAGGTTGCTATTGTCATTCTCCTGAAATTCCCAGATAGCCTGGCTGCTCAAGGGAGTCCAGGGGGTTCTGATCTGGCCCCCTTTCCTTCTCCTGGTACTGACAGCATTTGCCCGCCTTCTTGGACCTCCCAGGCCCTCCTTCTATTCAGAGCTCCTTGTGGATTACCTAGGGTTTGCCTGCTTATTGCCTCCTCTTGCAGCCTCATGGTGATGGTTGGGCCTAGTCTCCGCTCTTCCCCACCTTGTTTTTGGACAGATTGCCCTGGATGGTGACCTGCGTCTGACAGTCCCATCAGCTCTTCTCAGCTGTCCTGAGGCCGCAGCTGTCAGTTCCCCTGGCCCTCAGCACTTGCCTGGACCACCTGGGGTTTGCCATGCCCCTCTCCAGCGCATCTCTGTCCTCTTATATCCTAAGTGTCGCTTCTGACCACCCTCCCCTCCCACGCCATCTCTTCCTCCCTTCTCCCTTTCTTTGTAGTAGTTGGTGCAGCAGCCTTCCTCCATTCCCAGCATGCTTCGTGGCTGGTGCTGGCAGCAAGGTCCTCAAAATCCCATCCAAGCTGCAGCCAATTATGCCAATGCACACCCTTGGCAGGAGATTGACTGGGCCTCTCCTGGGGTTGCATATTTCCCCCTAGTGGATCCCTGGATTGAGCATCCCTGTTGTGGGGACCCTGTGTGTGTGCACATAACCATGGAGCAGAAGAGCACAGTGGATGGTGAGGCCACAGAAAGGGGTCCCCCTGCCATGCCTGGCCCATGACCCCTTAGGGTGGACTTCCCCTGGGTGCCAGGCTCAGACCCAGGCACCTTTGATGGCTCCCCCTTGCTGCTGGACCGCTTTTTGGCTCAGCTGGTGATTACATGTCTTTCCGCTTTGAGCACTACCAGGACAACCTCAGGCGTATCTGCAAAGTCCTCGGGTGCCTGACAGGCCGAGCTTGGGCATGGGCAGCCCCCTACCTTGATGGGGATATACCCCTGCTTGATGATTATGAGCGCTTTTGCCAGGATTTCGAGGAGGTTATTCAGGACCCGAACAGTTTTTCTGAGTACCATGCTGCAGTGCCCTGCCCCTTGCCCCCACCTTGAGCCAGCCTCCAGTGACCCCACAGCTGCCTGTGGTGAGGCAGTACCTAGCTAGGTTCTCAGACACTCTGGCACTCAACATGGGTGCTACCCCCAGGCCTGTCCCAGCCACTCTGGCCATACCTGCTGTTCCTAGTTCCAACTCTGCATTCAGAAATGCTCTGCCTGAGCAGCAGCTGGCCAAGGAAAGCAGCCCTGGGCCTGCTGAGCCTCCTGCCTTGTCCAGTTCTGCATGCAGCACCAAACCTGGTCTGGTGGGGCCAGCCTCCTCCCAGCCAAGGGAGGGGGCACCCAAATCTGTCCTTGTACTTCCAGAATCTGCTAACTCCCCCGCCCAGAAACTAGATCCAGCTCTCCCAGGGAGTCCAGAGCCCCAGCAGAGAGAGGAGGAGGTTTCTGAGGCAGAGGAAGACCAGGAGGCATCTTTAGATGACTCACAGGGGGTAGTGGACACCCCAGAGATGCCAGGAGAGCCACCATTTTCTCCTGCTCTCCATCCTGCAGCCCTGGTTTCTAAACAGGGTCCAGGCAGGTGCAGCAGTGGCCCTCGTGATGAAGTGGCCCACATAGCCAAGGAGCTCCACAGCCCCCCATCAAGACAAAGTGGCATTGCCAGGTGACTTTAGACATAGTGCTGCCGTGTGCTGCGCTGTCCACTTGCCCCATTGCTGGGTAGGAGGTGCACCTGTTTGGTCTCTACCTTGTCTGAGTACAAACGACCCCCTCGCCCACCACAGGAGAACATTGGCCTCTGCCCTGTACTCAGTCTGTGATTTCCCTGGTGGCCCAGAGGCTGCTTTGTGCTAGGCTCTCTATAGCATCCCCGCAGCTGCCCTGGGAGGACCATCTCACCCGGGTTTGTTCCTACTAGTTGGGCAGAGTTCTGTAGATCGGTCCCCATCAGATATTTGCACTATCTTTGTAAACCCTACCCACCCAAGCACACACAAACTACCCCCCTCCCCCAAATCCTGGCTGCAACTGCACTGTCTGTCATGCCAGCCCTGGATCTGGTCCCTGGATGGTCTTTGCTTTGTTCCTTTCCCCCACAATCTGCTTTCCGTGGGCTGCCCTCTGGGCTGGAATTGAAGGAAGGTTGCATGGAGGAAGCGGCCACTCTCATTGTGGAGTGTGAGTCGGATGGTCTTGGTGGAGAAAGATGCTTTTCTGTGGGTTTGTCAGTAGCCCTGGTCAGCTGGGAAGGCTCAGTACAGGAAGAGGAGATTCAGGCCACCTTTTAGTCTCAACTGCATTCCAGGCATTTTTTCCCTCTGTATGTTAACATTCTAGTCACCTGGTTTTCTTGGATTTTTCATCTCAGTGCCTTTACGCCTGCTGCCCTCCCACTTTTCAACAGCCCCTGCCCTCTTGCCCACTCTTGCACATTGCTAATTCAGCACCTAAACCCTCACACTACATGACTTGTACCTCAGGGTAGACTGTGAGCCTCTAGGGCATGGGCTCCATCTTAGCTTGTGTCCTGGTACACAACCGGTGCTCATTAAATGTGTGTTGAATCCATGGCTGAGCCTGCGGTGTGGTGACTGCTGACAAGCAGAGCCTGTTCCACTGGCAGCAACACTGGGCCCATTACAGGGAGGCTAGGCCCCAGCCACGAGCATGCCAGGTCAGTGTTGCATGCGTGGTTGGGAACTTGGAGGATGGAAGGGTCTGGTTGAGGAGTTGGGCTGACTGGGTGGGAATAGGAGGCTTGACAGGTGGAGTGTGGCCTTGAGACCCAACTTCTGAGAGGGGAGGTGAAACGAGGAACAGGGAGCTGTGAGGCCCCCGGGAGCCAGATGACTGGAATGAAGAAAGACCTGTTCAGTACAAGGATGGGTTTTCTAATAGTGAGAGCTGAGCTGGGGAGCTTCCTCCAGCCAGACTGAATGGGAATGGCAAGCCCCTTTCAGTTTTATGGTTGTGCAAACAAAACGCGAGGACACCTTCCTGGAAAGTAGGAGGAAGAAATAAGTGGAAACAGGAGCTGCAACTAACACTAGTTATGCTAGGAAAAAGTGTAATAAGCAAACATACGGTAAAAACTTTAAAGTACATTGTTGGGATTATTTTATTTAGTTACTATCACTTAGAAAAGCGCTGGATTCAGAGGGTTTTATGTGTGAGTTATTTTAAGGCACAGATACCTTGCAAGTAAACCAGTTGCAAATCCTGGAAATAGGTAGGAGGCTGATATAACCCTAAAAGCAAAACAAGCAAGCTGACAAAAGCAATCACATGTGATCTGATTCTGCTTAGGTGTGGAGAGTCCCTGAACGTCCCAGCCAGCCCCAGCCACAGTGCTCCTGTGAGGGGCGGCACTGCTGCCCCTCTGCGCTGTTGCCCAGGCGCAGGTCCGACTGCTCCCGCTGACCCCCGTCAGCTGCGGCCTGGCTGCCTGCACGTCTGGTGTGGTTGGTGATAGTCAGAAGGTCCCTCCTTTGAGCTGGCCAAACTGCTCTGGCAGTAGGACCTAGCGCGGCTTTCTGGGACCCATGGCCCAGCTGACACCCCTGTTATGTGGCTGGCTCTTCACAGACTGCCTTTTCTGTCTCCATTCAGTGGACCCTCAGCTCAGGGTTGTCATTTTCCCTTCCAACCCCCTGTCTCATTGGGGCCTCTCCTCCCTCAGGCCCCAGACAACTCCTGTGGGCTTGGATTATAGTCTGACATACCTCTCCTGAGGGCCTGCCAGGGCAGGCCCAGGGGGACTTCGGGAGAGGCCTGATGACCTCTTTTTTAATTTGGGGAATGGGTCTTAGGGTGGTTGCTCTGCCCTCATGAAAGGAAAGGAGGAGAGGGCAGGGCCTCAGTGGTGTTGGCAAAGTCACCCATTCCTGGGTGGCATTAGGTGAGGATGGGAGGGCTCTGGACTGGCCTGCCACGCAGGGAATGGGTATGATGTTGCAGAATGACAGCTTCCTCTGCCTTCAGGCAGATGCAGTGACCTAGCTACTTCCCCACTCTGGGCGAGCAGGCACATGGAGGGCCAGGAGAGGAGGCCCTGCCGTGCTTGGTGGGAGGAGGGCCCTTCGGGCACTCAGCACTCCTGGCTCTCCACACAGGCTGGCGACCTTAAGGAGAGTGCTGGCTGAGGTGCGAGGGCCTGCCTTCTAGATCATGTGTGTCTTTCACGTCCCTTGGAAATACCCACAGCTCTTATTTATTAAGGATGGGACACTGCGGGCACTATGGGAGGGCTTTTTAAAGTACCTGTGTCCAAAGAAAATTCTAGCACCGCAACTATTAAGGAAAAGGTCCTATAAGATACTGAACATTTTATAAAGCTTCAACAAAGAAGGTGCTTGGAAATTGACGCAGACAGATGAACAAAGGAGAATAGAGAACTGGAATAAAGCCAACTAAGGAATTTAGTTCACACTAGAGGTGTTTCAAATTAATGGGGGTAAAGTGGATTGTTCAGTAAAAGGAGTCGAACAACTGGGCAGCCATCTGGGAAGTAATACAACTGGACACCTTCCTCCCTGTTTATACCAGCCTGTACTCCAGACAAATTAAAAATTTCAACATTCAAAAAATAATTAAAGTAGTGGGGGTGATTTTTTTCCAGTCTGTGATTCCAGGACTGACTGTAAAAATTTAGGTACCAGGATTGCTGAGCATGGAGAAACATACTTTTTCATGCTGTTGGTTGGAGTATTGAATGCTGCTTTTGGCGCACGTGACATTTCTGGGCACATAGACGCTGACCACTTGCCTGCATGCAGGTGGTCATTGCTCGCTCCTCAGTAGGTGTGGGGCTTCAGAGAGTGGACTTGAGCTTGGTTACACCTTGCCTGTGCCAGCTGGAAGCTGACAGTCCTCCGTGTGTCACCTGATCTGTCAGAGCCGTTAGAATAGTTTATCCTCATAGGGCATGGGGGCTGGGGGAGGGGTTCAGTGAGATAAGGCCCGCACAGTGGCCTGAGCCTCAGGGACTGCCAAGTGAGCCTCACTGCAGCAAAGCTGGCGACAGCCCAAAGGCCCAGCAGCGCAGAGTGAGGTCAGTGGAGCTGTTATCCATTATATCAGTCAGGATATGCCAGGCTGTGCTGCAGTAACAAACTTCTAGCATTGCAGCCACCCACCCTCATGTCACAGATCAACTCTTCCCTTTCTAGTCCCGTATGGACCCATGACAACAGGAGCCCCAGTGGATTGTTTTTCCATGACCACAGAGGGGAAACACCATAGTGGACCATAAGTAACAAGTGTCTCCCCTTCTGTTACTGTTACCATGGAGACAAGTACACCTGAGTTTGGATGGATGAGAGTGGCTGATCCTCCCATGGGTTGGGACGGGGCATTCAGCCTTGAGAAGAGCTGGTGTCCACTCAGCACGACTCTCGGGAGTGCAGCCATCCAGGCAGTGGGTGGCGGGCAGCTTCAGTGTCTGGAGAGAAGCCTGTGTGCCTTTGCTAGGGCCACATGGCTCAAACAACAAATACATTTTTCCCCAATTCTGGAGGCTAACAGTCTGATACAAAGGTATCTACAGGGGTGATTCCTCCCCCTAGCTTGTGATGGCTGTCTTCTCTCCCTTCACATGCTTGTCCCTCTGTGCCTGTCTGTCCTGATCTCCTGTTATGATGACACCAGTCATTACTAGGGCCCACCCATTTGACCTAATTTAACTTAAATTACCTCTTTAAAGGCCCCGTCTCCACATATAGTCACATTTTGAGGTGCTGGGGATTAGAATTCTAAATTGGGGGGTGGGGAGGGGACACAATTTCGGCCATCATACTGCCCAACATGGATTTTTTTTTTTTTTTTTTTGCATTTCTGGGCAGTGCTGTCATGAGAACCCTTCTGAGAGTCACGGAAGGCCATGTGCAGAACCCCTCTAGGCCCCTGGAGCAGGAAGTGCCCAGTTCTGTGTGCCCCACTCCTCTTAAGAAACATTTCCCCACCTGAGGGTCAAAGACGTGACTCCATACTCCCAAATCTCAATGCTTTGTCTTTTATGTTGACTGGAGTCTGTGGTGGCATGGTGTGCAGAGGGTTCTGCTGTAGGCATCAGAGAGCCTGAGAAGGGAGCCAGCGTGTATGAGCGATGGCACCAGGAACAGGTTTGGCCTGCATGGCACCCAGCACTGTAGGCTGACAGTCACCTGCCCTGTGGGAAAGGTGAAACGGGGTCCTTGATGGGTTAGGATAGAATAGGCCCTGCTGTGGAGGACACAAGCCCCCAAACTTGGCAGCTTCGTGCATCTATCCGTTCCCCACTCCTGTTACATGCTCAGCATAGGTGAGGGCCTGCAAGTCAGGAGATCAGGTGTGTTGATTGGGCACCTGGTGAGTGTGCTGTCCCCTGGGGCACCACGGAGTCCCTGTGTTCCTCCCCTGAAAATCAGGACACAGATGGGAGCCTTGGGCTGGTGGCAACCATCCGGGTGACCCAGTGCCAGTGCAGTTGTGTCCCTGGGCGCCTGCCCCACCTGCCCCAGGCGCACACTTGATGATGCCTACTTCAGCCTCCTGGTCCCTGTCAGCGCCCCCACCCCCACTCCCAGCAAGTTGTTAAACTCCTAGATTCACTTTCACCACCTGTAACTAGAACTTCTACCTCCCATGTGCCTGGGAAGCAGCAGGCCCCTCGGGCCTGTAATCACTGTCCCTGACCCCTCTCTCCCTCACACTTCAACCGAGCACTGGTGGCAGCCATCAGTGAGAGTATACATATTGTGGGTATGTGCCTCTAGACATGTGTGTGTACACACCTTCGGCCCACTGTGAATGTGCATGCATCTGCAGGCATGTTATTCGCATGTCTGGTAGACAAATCGCTGGGGGACTCCTCCATCTGAGATGGCCTCTGCCACGGGGGCAACTGCATGGATCCCTGTCAGAAAGTACATCACCACCGCCATGTCTAGGGACCCCTCTCCAAGTGGGATTGGTTCCTAGAAGCTGCCTGGGCGCCAGCCTGCAGGGGTTGGCCCCCATTCCATGTCCTAGGTGAGTGTTGTCTGGGCGTCGCCATCAGCACTGGGCAGATGGCCACTGTGCACCAGGCCTCATGGCAGAAGTGGGCCCAGAGTCCGGCACTGGCACACGGGATGGCCACCCTTGTAAAACAACATGCTTTTCCATGTGTTCGCCAGGGACAAAAAGGCTGGTGGCCCATCGTTGGCAGGGGTCCCAGCCCTGCCCGTAAGTGCTTTGGGGCAGGCTGGCAGAAAACGCCTCAGTCGGGCTTCCTTCCTGCCACCTCTCAAGGCTCCTTGGACCTGCTCCTGGGGGTAACGGATGTCCTCAGCTACAGCTCAAAACGCCTGTTCATGGAGAGGCCCTGCCCACCCATCCTGCCTGCCCCTGCAGCCCAGCGGCCCCTCACCCTGGCATTTCCTTCCTTTCAGCCCAGAGGACAAGTCTGTGACTCTCGACCTCAGCACCCATGGCTGTGGGAGGCCCTTGCTGACTGCGGGCAGACTGGGCATTCACCCCTCATACCTCCAGCCTTACTGTGAGACATCACCATGCCTTCACCTCCTGAAGGCTCTGCCAGCCCAGCCTGGCCCTGCCAGGGCATTGTCTGTGGCATGGCAGGGGAGAAGAATAGGCCGAGGTGGGCTGGTGGGCTCACTCTGCCTGGGCACTGACCACACCATGCAGGCC